TGGATGCTCCTGCCTGTCAGAAGCTATGGAACACTGAGGGGAGAGTTGCAACACATTGCAGTGACAGAAACAGATCCCCAAGGCAGCTGGAAATAACTGACACTGCAAAAGTGTAACAACATGCTTATGTTAAATCAAAACAAACATCTCTGCCTCCCTGTGGGGCAGCCATTATTTTACCTTTGTATTTGGCACTGGTGTAGGTGCTGGAATACTGCTTCTCCTTGTGGTTCAGCAATGCAGGGAAGTTACTGACAAACTGGAAATCACCGGAGGACAGCTAGGAGGAGGATGGATGGGCTGTAAAAGTAACTGCCTATAAATCTCAGGCTTAAAAATTACTGAAAAAGGTCTAAATAGTGATGTATGACCTTGTAACAATGGGAATTTCAGTTTACCAGTGTAGGATATAATAGGATCCAATGGATGAAAAACTGAAGCTAGGAAATTGTACAAGAGGTAAGTCCCATTCAAATGATATTTATGACTGTCTATGGGAAAAAAATTACCAATTTTGAGGGATGCTTCATCATTGTTTATGTTTAGTAAAAAATAAATGCTTTTCTGAAGACAGTTCTCTTACCCTAAACAAGGTGGCCTTACTTATAAAACCTTCATAGCTGTATTTGTTTTTTAAGCAAGAATGTTATCTGCCATCAATTAACTCAGGTTTGCCAAGTTAAAAAAGCAGGCCCATGGTCCCTGTGGATGAGAGCCTGAATTTTTACTTTTTCTGCTTAAAATATAGTTTATAAATATAATTCATGCTCAATGAACAAGGGATTTCCCTCTGTTGTGAGCTGACAAGCGGAGGCAGCACAGATTGGAAGATACTATGTTAATTATCAGCCTTCTTGACATAAAGTCAAACTGAACCTAGGCCAAATCATTTGCTTGGAAATTAGATTGAGTTATCTCAAATTGGCCATTCCAGACTAGCAGGGCAATAAAGGGCACTGTATTTGTTGATGTATTTGACCTTGACATTTCAGTCATATCAAGACGTGCATGCACTTAACTTCCAGCTTAATTCACATCACACAGTGCCTTCCCAACAGCTGTGCTCAGAGCAGATCATAAAAGGGCTGTCAGCATTCCAAACATCAGAAGTCTTTCTGATCTAAAGCAGCAAATTACTCCTGAATTTTCAATTCACAGTATATTAAAAAATTGTTTTGACACAATTGTGCTGGTTTTTAATGTTCAAATGTAGCCCAAAGACTGAAAGGGAAAAAAAAAAGAAAAAAAAGAAAAAAGGATGAGATTATTTTACAGATCTAATCCTCAAGTAAGCATAAAGAGAAAATGAATGTCGTGTAGTTCCCATTTTCTCAAACTGTGTGTTGCTCCCCAGATCAAGAATGCAAGGCCTGTCCTGACATTACTGAAGTGAAATGCAGCAAAATGCTTTCCTGGAGAGGAACTGCCCTTGCATGAAGCTGCTTGGGTAGGTTTTTCAGGATGGTAGCCTCCAGTACTTCAGCACTCATACACAAAATCAAAATAAAAGCTTGAAGTCCATACTTGATTCCTTGTTTAACTTCTTTATACAGCTTCAACAACTACTTAGGAAATTCAAAGGAGAATGCAGATCTACACTGAACATCCAGCCTCATCTTTCTGTAAAACTACATTTTCTTCTGCATATTAATATTAATAATACATACAGGTTATTAATATGACATTTTCAAAGGGTAGCTTCAATTCAGTCACATCTGGGGGGTGATTACATTTAATTAGCTTTGGTTATTTGTGTTGCAAGCCTCATCGAACCCTTCTATCTTTAAGAAAACATTCACATTTGAATTTGGAAAACCAAATCTGGGGATATGCTGGTCTGTTTGGGAAGAGGTAACACAGGTAAGTGAAACAAAAGCAGCAGGAAGGAAGAAAAATTGAACAAAATGGAGTAAAAAAAACCTGCCAGCCTAGAAACTGTGTCAATGAGTCTTAAATGTAGTAGCATGATCTGGAATTTTACATCATAAACTGCAAGCATTAATCCTGGGGTACTGAGGGTGCAGTGAAGCAAGTGAGAAAACTCACTAAGCCAGCACCTGGAGATTCCCTGAAGCACCTGCCGTGCAGAGCACAGGCATCACACCGCCGCTCCCAGCCCTCTCATCCCCAAGGGTGTTGCAACTGCTGGAAAACTGCCACGGGGCAACAAAGAGGCAGGGCAGAGAGCTGCCATGTCAGTGCTCACCCGCAACACTGGCTGCACTGAAACAGCCAGGTATCCGGATTGGGCTGTTGCACGTTCTGATTCCAGATGATGTCCCAGGGCACAGGGACCAGGCATCTTCCAGGACGTCTCCAGGAGGGTCCAGGTGGGTGCACTGCAAAGCCGTGTGACACAGACAGGGAAACCCAACAGCTCCTGGCCCCTGCCCTGCCCCGGCCCCGGGCCCCCCGCGCCCCATTAACACCCGCACCCAACACTAAGGGGCAGGACACGTGCGAGGGCACGAGGATTCGCGCCCGTGGCTGAGGGCCCTGGGCAGCCTGTCCCAGTGCTCTGTCACTCTTACAGTAAAAAAGGTTTTTCTGATGTTTATGTGGAACCTCCTATGCTCCCATTTGCACCCATTACCCCTTGTCCTGTCACTGGTCATCACTGAGAAAAGCCTAACTCCATCTCCCTGACACTCACCCCTTACATATTTGTAAACATTGATGAGGTCACCCCTCAGTCTCCTTTTCTCCAAGCTAAAGAGACCCAGCTCCCTCAGCCTTTCCTCATAAGGGAGATGTTCCACTCCCTTCAACATCTCTGTGGCTCTGCGCTGGACTCTTTCAAGCAGTTCCCTGTCCTTCTTGAACTGAGGGGCCCAGAACTGGACACAATACTCCAGATGTGGCCTCACCAATGCAGAATAGAGGGGGAGGAGAACCTCTCTTGACC